GAGGGGGGGTGAAAGAGAAAATACCAGGAGTTGGGAGAAAGGTAGGAAATGGGAAATTAAAAGAATACCGTATTGAGTCTTGTATAGTAATATAGTTCTACCGAAGTACCAAGAACTGCTGAAGTACCGAGAGATGTGTCTGATCACAGTAATATTTTTGCTGGTTACAAACTACACCCTAGTCTCCTTTTTTTCACACCTCGTATCACGATCGCTTTGTCGAGAAAACCGGACACGGAATTCGTCGGTGGAATGTTACGCACAAGTGATGGGATCATCGACGGAGCGCATTAACGAAATTGCCAGATTCTTAAAGAAGATCGTGCACGGAAACGTAGGGACATTTTTCCCCGATCGATTCGGAACGTCGTTCGAGTTCCAAGAAGAAACCGTAGCCGTGCCATCTCCGGTACTTTGTTCTACCATGGCGGACTTTCTGCTTCGCTCCTCTCGAGAAATTGCCGAAGGAACGACATTATTGCGCGTTGTCGTGACCAATCCCCATCGACGTCGTCTCTGTAGCGTCACTGTGTTTTATTATGTGCTTTATCGAATCTCTCGTACCGGCTGTTTCTTCCGCCTCGAACATCCGAACCGATGTTCTGCCGAACGACTTACTTTCAATGTACCGTCACCCTATCATCGATACCGTTCTTGTGTTCTAAACTCAAAAATATCATAATTAAAGAGAAGGACCACTTCGATCACCCAGAAGTGTATTGTCAAGATCATTTTGTACAGGACATTTTGTATTTGTCGATTTCATGCTTTTCAAAGCTTGTCAAGTATAGACAGAAACTTGATTAAACGTTCGAGATATTTACGAACGCTACAACTTTTATAATTAAACATCGCAATACGATTCGTACGTCATTTATCCGCGACGATCGTATTTTACGGTTTCGACCGCGCCAGAACGTATCGCTTGTTTATGCGACAGTGACACGAATATTTTTTCCCTTGATAATACTGCCAAAAATCGTGATATACTGCCGGTTATCCGGAACCATAAATTCCGAGGTATCGTATTAGAATTCCCGTTTCGCATAGCTATTTCTATTCCGTCCGCTTGGCGGGGATATTTATGTCAAGTATTTCGTATTTCCTTAGCTCTCGAATCTTTCCTCTAATCGATACGAAAGTTCGAAATCGCGAGGCTAAATCTGTCAACGAGAAGACAATGCGACGAAACTGTTCGTGTCGGTAAGCGAAGTTTTCCAAATCGTTATTGGTTCAACGTTGAACTATCTAGAATATTTACTACTCGACAGTTTGAACATATTATAATTACCGTGCTATAACTATGTTATGAAATTTCAAAGCGCCCAGACTCGTATTGTATCGGCGAACAAAAGCTATCGTCATATATACATATTTTAACAAGTACACGATTCTTCCTGAACGAAACGCGAGGTTCATTCGCGTTAACCGAGAAAGGTCGTTTCATTTCGCGTTCTCTTTGCGTCTGCCTCAATTAACTCGGGCAATTAATTAAAAATCCTCCAGACACTGGCGACGGTCCAACATCCGTTCGTCACTGTGACTCGATGAAACAATGGGCACAACCTACGTAACCGAACGATGCTGCCATTCGATATAATGCGTCTCCGAATACATTTTCCTAATTAAAAATCTCTTTGTCTTTGTCCGGTGTCTCCGAGAGATCGATGTTTAAAATTATCGAATATTTACGCGATAAATCCGCGCCGAATAAATAGCCGACAAGAGCGACTTGACAGAAACCCTCGTAATTATCTGGGAATACCGTTTAATTCGTTCCGCAACGATGATGCAAGCAAAGTTTCGCAACTGCTTCGATTTCTGCATTCAAGGTAGTTGCTGATGTTCATAAGTTTCAACGCTATTATACAAACAATGTATTCAGAGCAATGCGCTGCATTAGCATGTCCATGGTGAGTTGGTACTTTGCAATACACGCGCAGACACGTAAATTCCCATTGGCGTTTTAACGTTTCCATTGAAATCCAGCCGACGTTTGTTTCCATTTGTATAAATAGCAGACGCGAAATCGTTGTTCCGGCATACTTTCAATAATCTCGATCCGTAAAAGTTAAAACGGCCTTTCAATCCCGACGCACACGTGTTCCGATTAAAATTATAGCGCCGCCATGCGCTATAGTTTAGCGATTATGTCCTGTAACTCTATTACGGTATATTAATATGTTATACGCTGCCGTTTAATAATTGTAATATGCTATAACGGCATTATGAAGCATCAATAACGGTAACGTGATTATTTCCCTTATGATTTGGTCGACGAGTTAATTACCTTAATTTGCAACGCTCCGTCGTCGATTTTAAAAGGGTTAATTGTAAGTTTTCTATAGAACGGGGGACAAATGATATAAAGGCGAATTTACGTAATTAGCGAAACGAGTAGTACAATTAGAAAAAAAGTGAAGAGAGCGCAAACGAGACGAGGCGCATCGAGGACGTTCGCCGGAAAACCACCATCGGCAGGGACAACGGATCCACCGTTCGAAAAGTTTTTCAACGCGACCGATTTACCAGGAAACAAACACGACCGAATGAAAAAAAAAAAACTAGAGAGATTTGAACAAAGAGCGAAAAGATGAAAAAGGACAAACACATGTCGCGCGTTCGCGGTATCGTGCCATTGTCAATCCTGATGTATTGTCCTGTCAGGACGTAGTCAGCGACACTGACATGACCCAGATGGAATCGAGGGCTCTTTACAGAATAATCGCGAAAAACGCGTCCACCTGTGTATTGTACGTATTAAACGAATAACTCTCGAATCGACCGCGACGTCGTGCTCGGATGTCGAGTGCTTGTAAAATTACCCACCTATAAACGTGTTTTCGAAGGTAGCTCAGCAATTTCAAAAGCACCGATTCGATACTCCATTGTCCCTGAACGATTGAAAATTCCCAGAATCGGTGTCCTGTCCATATTTGCGTTAAAAAACAACCTCTCGTGTTATCCGAAACTCCTCCGATACGACGTGCAACGTTTCACGGTATTACGGACCTCGATTCATATCAACTATTATTTTAACGATAGGTCTCGTAGGGTCGTCCGAATTTGCCGAAAGGGCTTGGTTTACTGGCGATAATTCCAACGTTATCGATAGCGCGATAACAAGCGTCGATTCGAAAGGGCTAACGAAGGGCCAGAAGCGCATCTTGGATGGATGTCGCGTGGAAATTGGAATCGACTTTCCTGAAAATTTACCGCAAACTACAGATTAGGAAAATTGAAACCGCATCGCATTGGTACGAACTGGAGCATCGTATCGTTCCTGAAATATCACTCCCTCGTTAAATGGAACCGAACCTCCTCTGGATATCTCGTTACCGAGCTTCGGTTCTCACTGATTTCTAACTCGTCTTCCAGTAATCCCCTCACCTAACTCTTCGTCGACGAAAATTTTCGTTCCACCGGGAAATTTCCAATCCCTGCTATAAATAATCTTGCTCGAATTTTACCCGAGAAGATAGGCTATAATACTGGCTACACTGACCGCCGATGTGGGTAGCACCGAGGTAGTTACCGAACCGTTCCGATATTCCTCGGAGGATCGCTCGATCCGAATCGATAAAACTTATTAGACGAAATGCCGAAAATCGTCTAGGAAAGACTCGCGCGGCATTTCCGCAAGAACCTCGTTCAAGCAGAAAACTCGAGACATAATAACACCGGCGATCCTCTCGAGAATAAAGATGTATTCTTAAGCGGAAGCTTTCGTCTGGTAATCGCATCCGTACCACCGAGTTAAAGAAAATCCGATTATGAGTCTTGACTAATGATCATCAGGAAGAGCTTTCGTTATACGTCTTTCAGAAAATTCCATCTCAAGATTGGCTCTTCGAAATACCTTGTACCGGATAATTAAAAATAATCGAACATTCCTTCCCGATTCAACGTATCTAATAGCCCCGGTATCGAGCCCGATTTAATTACAGTTCACGTTCCCGAACGTTCCAAGCAAATCGTATTTGCGGAACGTTCCAATTTTCGAATAAAGTTTTCTGTATTAATGGCCGTATCTCCCGTGGTGGTGGAGCGGTAACAGCGGATTGGATACGCGAAAATTTGCCCCTTACGCTTACTTTTTTAGCAGGGTTTATTGTTCGATCCGAAACACGTGTCGTGTGTTTTCCCTGCATGAATGTATGGTAACGCGGAACGTTGCTTCGATGGCAATTTCCTGAAGCATTTCCCCAAAAATAAACGCATTAAATCGCGAAGCGGTTTTGGAAATAACGAGGCGCGTCACGGCCAAACGGTCAAATGAAGGCTATTTTTCGCGTTCGTAACGGTAGAACGTGCCTCCATTATCGCTCATTGTTCCCCGATCGAGAGAACGCGGCAGGTAACCGGTTGCCGGGTAGTTTGGAAAGTTTGCAGAATCGTGGCGTGAAAATAATCACGCGTCGAGAAGAGATTATTCGTTAGTGTCATTATCGGGGACGATTACGAGACCGCGGACAACCGGTGAACAATGGTTCTCGTTGATCAAACGGTTACGTATCATCGAGCAAGTCTAATTAGCCTGATTGCAGTCGACAAAATAGCGACTAGTATACACGATCGACGGCATCAGCTTCGTTATATAATTGCTCTATTTCCTATTGACATTCCGAATCACCAGAGACATCGGGGCGGCTGTTAAATAGTAACGCTTTGCTTTGTCCTCTAATTAATAGATCGCTCGACAAGCGTTAGCAAATTATTACTTTTCTCTTTACATATGATTTTTTCAACTTGCCAGATATCAAAGCCGAGTAATTTCCTTGCCATGCAATCGTAATTGATGCGGTCTGATTCCACGCGCGGTTCGGACGATCGATCATTCGGAGGATTATTTATCCTCGGCAGAATTGTTTACCGTATATCGATCGATTCATCTGGAGCATACTATCGTTCGAATCGAACCGGTTAAAGTTTACCGAAAGAGTTCTTCCGCGTATAAAAACTCTCGCCCTTCATCGAAGGTGTTTACGAAGAGGTCCTACCTTGTCCCTGATTTCTTGTCGCATCTTCTCTCGCTCCTCTTCCATTTTACGGTGCTTCTCCTTCCTTCGCTCCTCAGCCTCCCTGATGGCTTCTTGCCTTTCTCTTTCGGCCTCCTCCTCCTTCTCCTTGTCATCGTCGTCTCCGCCTTCGCCACCTACGGCTCCTGTCGAACAAAAGAAACGATTTTTTTAATAAAAATTCTGCTCCTAAAGTTATATTTCAATCAAGCTGTTCAACCGTCGATCAATCGCGAGAGGCTGTTTGATCAACAGTTAGGTTCTGTTTCATTCCAGTTATACTCGTTATGTACAAACTTCTGGCGGGTATAATAGAGCACGATAAACCAACGGTTTACCCTTGGAAGCAAACATTGTAAATCAGCCTGATAGCTAGGATGCTATACCCCGGTAGTTTATACGCTATTGCAGAGGAACGTCAAGTTTCCAGGGAAAATTATTTCGCCATAGAGAAGTCTCGATCGATTGTCGTGACAGATAGGAAAGTTTCTTCCTAACTAACGTGCATCCAGCTCGCTATATCTACTCGGAGTGTATGCGGGATCAGCTGCTATTATACCAGCCACTTTGAACATCGTTCGAAAGTTGTTCTTTCCTCGATTGACGAACGACGGAACGATATCGATATCCTTTATGTTCAAATTAATTCTTTATGAACTCGAGAGCACGTTAACTAACTTTCGCGTTTATTGCTTTTTATCGATTCGCCACGCTCTTCTATCGTTAACGACGCATTCTTTTTTACGCTTTTATCGATTGAAAATCATTACTTGGTCCAAATAAATTATTAAAAATTAAACGAAGCAGGCAACGAAAAATATCTGGCAGACTGCTCTTTTTAATTTTCGTTGATTGCACGTCGACGGAATTGCAATATTCTTGATTCGGCGTTGGTCAAGTCACGTTTAGGATCCGGTAGAAAAATATTGAAGCAAAGAACGAGGAAGGTACCAGAGTGGATTTCGGGCTTCTTTCGAAATTAATTCGATTTGAGTCCCTCTTGGAACAGTCATTCCGCCTTCGTAGACGTTCATAATTGAATTCACGTTCGGTAACCGTAACGGAGAGATGGAAAGTAAAAAAAAATGGAGAGAGAAAATCGGTCGCCTTTCATTCGTAAAGCCACGGATGGAAATACCAGGAGCTTTGGTCCGGTCTTAACGAAGTTTTATTAGTTTACCGAAAGATTAAGCGGATTCGTGAACAGTTCCTTGGCCATTACTCGTCCAACGAGGGAAATCCACGGCAAGCGTTCCTTCCGTAAGGAAAAATCGTGTTTACAGCGGAAACATGGCTGCCCTGTTCGCTTTTTCTCTCCCGTAACGCGATACTCTCCTTCGCCATGTAAAAATAAGAAAGTTGTTTGCGAATCCGTTAGCTCCGGATACTTTCAACTTCCCTCGGTTCGACCTGCCACCGGATGCTGGAGAATTAATGGTAAACAGCTGGAGAAGGGAGAATTTGTCTTTTGTAACGCTCTTTTCAGGCATGCAAATATTCGCGACGGGAGTTCGCGATCGCGAGAACAGATTCGACGAGCCGAGACGAAGACGAACGACCGTTTCGCGTTGATAATCCGCGTGCACGCGAATTTTTAACGCCTCGGCGCGAAACGATGTCTCCGGTACGTCGTACATTTGTCATGAGAAACGTGTACGGTGCACGACGACCTGTCGCCCGATTTCAACAGCTAGTTAACAAGGTTTTAACTCGAGCAACTTTCCTACGTTTATAACAAATATTACCGGCGATTATATCGCGCAAAAGTTGCCGGTCTATCTTTATTGCAAGCTACTTTACTGCGCGGTACTCGATACGGCTATACGCGCTAACGCGTTTACCGGCACAGTAGAAATAGCGGTGTTTGGTCAGACGCGGGATAAAGTAGACTTTAATAGACCATTAACTCTCGTCCGTGGTCAACTCTCCCTAACTCTCTCGACGGAAAGAACCCCTTTCGCGAAAGAAGTTCCGTAAATCTTTCGACGGCGAAGAGGAATTCGACGATATTAGGGTGCAGCGAAACGTCGCGTGTCAACGCGTAAGTTAAATATCGAATTATTCAGCGCGGGACGATTGTCGTGGAATGCTCGCGGCATCGCGTAAAAGTGGTTACGCTTCAAAGTAAGAATTCCAGCGTGTATAATGTTGGCAATATCGAGAGGACGCAGACGGACTTGGTCGAAGGGAAGCGAAAGGGATTCGTCTTTCTTGGTGTCTGGCGGAGAATGATGTGCCAGGACCTCCGGGCTCGAGGAAATTAATACTACTTCTGTCCCGGCGCCGTCTACCATTTTCCTTTTCTTTCTTCGTCCCATCTATTTGCACTGTTTCCCGCCACCATTGGTTTCCGCGTGCTGGAAAGGTACTTTGAAGTCCGAGCCAGCGACTATGTTCATTCTCTGTCTCTTCCCCTCTCTTCTCTGTTTATTTTTCGACCTGCATGTATCCTCTCGCCTTTTGTTTCCTTTCCGTAAACGAAACGAAAATTTCGTGGCGAATGGTTTCCGATTTCGTTTCGTTCCTTGTATTATCGATAAACGTAAAAGTAATAGGACAGATTGGTAGGAAAATGCAATCGTTATCCGATAGAGGTTTCAGCGGGGTTTTTCGCGGCAATCAGGGCGTTAAGAGATTCGTTAACCGAGAGAAGCCGGTTACGTAATTGACCCAGAGCACTTAATAACTCGCACATCCCCGGTCCTTTTTCTTTCTTTCCTCGTTCCGTTGTTCCCCATTTTCATGTAAGTTCAGCCACGTGCTCTGTTCAATTAATTAATTATGCCGGCTGGTTCTCAACGCTACGCCACTTAATCGTTCCCTTCCGCTTAGCGAGCTCGCGTTTAAGTTTCGTTATCTTCTCGTTTATGCAGCGTACGCGGTGCATTTACATTATTACACCGTTCTTATCTTATCGTTTTTGTTTGATTCCGTCTCTTTACCCTGTGCTGTTCGAACAAAAAAATTCGTTCCCAAGGGGAAATCTACTTATCTCTTTGCTCGTTCGGTCGCACGTTCATTCATCCTACCCAGTTTAATTAAATTCACTTATTTTGTCCTGGAATCGAGCTCTCTCTCTCTTCCACCCTCTTTCCTTTGAACGGCTCTTTCGTCTCGAACGTTTGTCTGGCCCAGTTATAAACCATGTAATAACTATAATAAACGATGAAATTGATTTTGAGGAAAAACAGATAAGTCCAAAGTCGAAAATTCGAGCAGGTTAGTTTACGAGAGAAGAATTTTCGAGTGGAAAGGATCAAATTTGCCAAAGGCAGTGATCTCGGTGGAGGGCAGGGACAAAAGATTTCGGCGCGGTTATTTTATCGGGTCGATTTACGAGAAGTTTGCCGCCTCGTTCCACGCGTCGGATCGTCGTCCGTTGGATGGCGATCGCGCAACAAGAACGACCATAATAGCGAACGAGGACAATTGTCGTCCCGGTGCAAATGGAGCGACCAAGGAGAAGCATAGTCATTTGCAGCGACATTTTCGCGGCTCCGGGTCGTTTCACGTTTCGCGCCATAGCCCCGAGATCGTCCACTAGACGCGGACCCCCGGTTATCTACATTTTTATCGAAATTATCGATCGCGGAACTTTGTACCTCGTAAAAGTATCACCCTACCCATTAGTTAAATGGATTGCACGTTTTCGAAGCAGCCGCACGCCTTTTATGCAGGCTCTTCTCGACCGAACACGATACGCAGCTAATTATGTTTAAGAGCTTTCGCGATACGCGAAATATGTTCACATTATTTCGACGAATCGTCGATGCCCGGGTCGAGTGCGACTTTCACCGGAACAACAAAATTGTCGAAGCGTTATTAACAATGTTGAGAATTTTCATGTTGAGAAAAGGATTCATTAATTTTTCCGACGCGGACCGAATGACCGAAACAAAAAATCTTGCCACGAAATTACTCTTTTTGCGCCGCGGTTTTCAATACTCGCAGCGATGATTTAAAAACGACACACGCGATGAAGTCATCCACGGTTTCTGGTCGATATTTCGAGCGGAGGCCCGTCCTTTTTTTTCCTGTCTTTGCATGTAGGCCAAGAGTCCGCTACGTCGCTGCCGTTTTGTTCTCGCGAATCCGCGCCTCGGATCATTACGCGAAACGACGCAGTCGCTAAATCCGGCCTACGACGAATTTTTTTTCTTTAATAATTCACGCGATCCCTCCGAGTTGCCGCATCGCGCTCGTTGCTCCTGATAATTTCAATATTTTCCTCCGAGCGCACGCGTTACTCCAATTAACGCGCTAGTTCGTTTAGCCGGGAATCACGCCACGCATTAAATTTCCACGCGTACAATTAGTAGGAGTCGCGGTCTCTCCCGACTTTTCCGAGACGTAAGCTCGCGTTTCCCTCCGGTAATTCCGTGTCTTGCGAAAAAAATGACCCAGTTTCGAACCGACAGAGGAACGTCACAGACGTACAACGGAGTTTCAATCTCGGGAATATAAACAAAAGAGTAAGAGAACGATAGGGAGGCTTTCGAAAAGGGACTTTGACGAGGAAAATGGAAAACCGCTGCTCGCGATCTCTGTAAAGTCGCCATTGTTTTTTGTTCGCCATCCAGACGACAACGACTATGTCGACGACGGCGACGACGAAGTGTGGATACTCGAGGATAAATTCAGCGATGTTTTCTCAGTGAATACCGGCGTAACGGTGGGTGCAAGTAGAAAGAAGGCGAAGCATAAAGCGTGGCAAGAGCAAAGGAAACAACGCTGGCCTCGATAGTCATCGGTAATCATCCCATGCGGCGGTAGAATGAAAGCAAACGAAAAAGCAATCTTCATCTAACGTTTCTCCATTCTTTGCTCTCTGTCTCAGTCGGCTGACAGAAATTCCGTTTATCATCGATTCTTTTCACGCGCTGCGGGGGTTACTAATCAACCGACCAATTCACTTTATATATCTATCGATATTTTACGGCTCCGACGAAAAATTGCCTCGTTCCCCTCGCGGGAATCGCGCCATTCTTTTATAATCGCAATAATAGTCAGCGAAGAAAGCGTCTTCTTTGTGATTCTCGTAAAAATGTAGGGGAGAACGAACATCCGAGAAAGTGTAAATGTAGAAAACGCTCTTCCACCAACTTTCTTACCAACTGTTCGTAACCATTATTCATGGAAGACTGTT